AATAAGTTACAAGAATCTCTCCGTCGTCTTTCATGACGATTCCCTCCATGTCGTCGTCGATAGGTACTGCTATCAAAGTTGCGCCAACCTAATGCGAGTTTTTCTTATTCTCTGTTACAGACTGTCTGTATTGTCCCATGGTAACCTTTCAGAGGTATTCTGGCCGTTTGGCCTAGGAGAACAAGTTGTGGACGTTGCATTACAGGTATGCGAAACAAAAAAGGCTATACTTGTATTTTTATAAGCTTTTGTCGTACAATGTCAGCTTCACCGCGGAGAAGTTCGTCTGGATGTTGAAGATACATCGTTCTTATTGGGAGACTGCCTCCTGGTTGGATCTGAGTTAGCCGCATCTGCTCCCGGACACTGGATTGTGGATAAAGTGCGCTGAACTTCTAAGAAGAATTTCGTAATTAGTAGGAATATGATGAAATCCTATTTATAGGGTTGTTCAGCATTGGCATCTTTAGTTCAACCAGTGCTGGATACAATTTTATGCAATGCTCTCCGACATCAAATTGGAACCATGGAAGCAAGTAGCGTTATGTAAGTGAAATGTGCCTAACTTCAGAATTTCGTTGCATAACATAGGTTCCTCATTGTTTTCCTCACTACCTCGTGATTTTTATAACGGGTCGTTGAAGACGAGTGCGGCGGCGGTCAAGGACGACCCGCGAAATCAGCAGGGTACCTACGAATGGGTGAATGTGTCAATAAGCTCACTCACCCAATCGTAAACTTGATATTACTCATTTCTCGACCTGAAAAATCCCGTCATACGCCAATTAGGAAGAAGAAGTTAGATTCCCATTAGTTCTTATTGAATGGTTGCGGAAAAGGGATCGTTAAGAATTTTCTATATGGTCTTTAAAGGCAAATGGAAAGCTTTTCTTTATCCATTTTTTTAAAAAATTATGAACCCATTTAAACTGACAATGTTGTACTTACTGAGGAAAATCACTTGCTATTATAAAAAGCGTTTGAGCAACATAAACGCGCAGTACTGTATGTACCGTAATTAATTTAATTTACGGCTAATTGTTACAGTAGGTCCTAAGCTTCAAGCACACGAAGAAACGCTGAATAGTGATGTGAATAAAAGTGTGTGGATTTTCGACTTACTTTATGCTTCTGAAATGTTTCATCTTATGTCTATAATTCATGTTTTGCAATCTTCTTCAACCGTCAAGACTTTACAAAATGTATGCAAGTTTTCGGAGACATTAGTAGACAGCAGCTTCATAGAGAGTCATCATAAAGGAACTGTTTCATTACGTCTTAGAGACTTACGACTTTATATATGTTTGTTGTATGACTGCTTAAGATTTATTTCCATTAAAAACATGATTCGAGGCAATCGTTAGGCGTTTTTATTCGAAGTTGATAAGTAGTAGAATCAGCGACTTTTTCAATGCCGCCTGTCAAATCGGAATCCAAATTGACTATTTCACGGCCTCTACAACGTTCACTTAATTTTCTCAACCTCTTCTACTTTTTGCCGAAAATAACTGGCATTATGATTAAGCCAAAAGCAGTTGTACAAACAACCAATTACCGCAGACACTCACCCTCAGATCACTTTTCTTATGCGATGTGTGTCCATCGCATTAAGAACTAGTAGGGAAAAGTGTTGTGGATTTGCTAATGTTTACTGCCTTTGCTCATCTTATTAATAGCATC